CAGTTTTATTAAGAAAGAACTTGTGTCGCTTAAGTTTCGTCGGAACGAAGTTACGGAAAATCAATTAACAAACGGAGACGTAACAATACGTTCTTTCTCGTGGCTCCATTTCAAAAATACTGTAACGTGAAAATATTTTGTTTTTCCTGTCAGAGAATCTTCACGATGTACTACAGACAATTTCGACAACTTTTCCGACACTTCGGTAAACTTCTATAATTTCATCATTCATATGATCGCCAGTAATTTGATAGAGAGGGTATTCGAAGTTGAACCAACTGTTCAACGAGTAATTTCGTAATTTTCATATTTAATTATACGTTTATTTACAGAACATTGTTTTCACTCACTAACGAACTTCTTTATTGTGACTTTAGGGGAGGAACAAAATGGACGTGAAAGTTTCAGAAAAAGAGCTTCAAGCAATAATTTTACACAAATAACTTGATATTAGAATAAAGACTTGAACATTTTAGTTGAAAGGTTAGAGAACCAGGGTAATGTGACGTAAACATTTTTGTTGGAAGAAAGAACCAGGGTAATGTGACGTAAACACTTTTGTTGGAATAAAGAACCAGGGTGATGTGACGTAAACACTTCGCTGGAATAAAGAACCAGGGTGATGTGACGTAAACACTTTCGCTGGAAGAAAGAACCAGGGTAATGTGACGTAAACACTTTTGTTGGAAGAAAGAACCAGGGTAATGTGACGTAAGGCACTTTTGTTGGAAGAAAGAACCAGGGTAATGTAACAAAAGTAAAAGTTAACATTGTTGACGTGATCAATATTATCCTAATCGCTTAATTTCTCTTCCATATTGTCTTTGTTATCTTTCAGAAAAATGCATAAATCTCGAGGCAGTAGCCGATAGACAAACGAACTGTGTTCCAACTGGTAAATATAACTTGGTGTGTTTTTCAACTGGTCTTTATGTTGGAAATACAACTTGGTGTGTTTTTTCAACTGGTCTTTATGTTGGAAATACAACTTGGTGTGTTTTTTCAACTGGTCTTTATGTTGGAAATACAACTTGGTGTGTTTTTCCAACTGGTCTTTATGTTGGAAATACAACTTGGTGTGTTTTTCCAACTGGTCTTTATGTTGGAAATACAGCTTGGTGAGTTTTTCAACTAGTCTTTATGTTGGAAATACTATGTTCTACTCAGACCAAGGTTATACGTTGTTATGCCCCACCTAAAGACTATTCATATTTTACTATTATAATATTAACATAATATTCAGTCTGTTAACGTCATTCTATGTTCACTTATCATGAAAATTGGTTCTTGTTTTTGTACTGGATATCCGATTCTTTTTGTTCTTGTTTCTTTTTGTCCTACTAGAAGTTAGTCCTGTTTAGTTTGCTGTAAATTGTAGTGGGTTCTTTTAGTATTTCTTGCTTTATTAGAACCTGGTTCTCTTTAGTTGAACTCGATGTCGTGATACAAGTTAGACAACAAGAGAACGTCTCTATTGTGTTTTGTTACCAGACTGTTGGACAAGGTGGATAATACCACCCACGACATAAAACGGGATTTTCTGTTGTGAATGCTGTACAAGACGTGGCTTGAAACCAAGATAAATAGCAAACGTTATTCACATGTAGTGACTATATCCTAATCTGCCCATATTTTATTCTTGAGAAAATACAAACAACGTGATACAAACAACAGCAACAAATATTCTCCGTGCAGTGCATGCCTCAAAACCTGGATAAGTGTTTCTTTTAAGCCTAAATTTTCTCTACCTCTCACTGTGTCCTTGAGTATTAATTGTAATTTATTAATATGCTTCGTGTAGAAGACGCACCAAGCTGTATTTCCAAAATAAAGTTGTCCGGTTGGAACAATACTTCTTTATCTAAAAGCTTCCATCTCGTGCTGTTTGCATTTTTCTGTAAGATAACGAATATAGAAACTGTTTGTACTCTGGTTTTTAAGTTATGTGAACCGTTATAAATACAAGCTGTTGTTAGGGATATATGTGGATTAAGTTTGTTTAATTGTTGACCGTTATAAATATAAGTTGTTGTTAGAGATATATTTGGATTAAGTTTGTTTACTTGTTGACCGTTATAAATATAAGCTGTTGTTAGGGATATATGTGGATTAAGATTGTTTACATGTTGACTGTTATAAACATAAGCTGTTGTTAGGGATATATTTGGATTAAGATTGTTTACTTGTTGACCGTTATAAATATAAGCTGTTGTTAGGGATATATTTGGATTAAGATTGTTTACTTGTTGACCGTTATAAATATAAGCTGTTGTTAGGGATATATTTGGATTAAGATTGTTTACTTGTTGACCGTTATAAATATAAGCTGTTGTTAGGGATATATTTGGATTAAGTTTGTTTACTTGTTGACCGTTATAAATATAAGCTGTTGTTAGGGATATATTTGGATTAAGATTGTTTAATTGTTATGTGAACCGTTATCACATGAGGATTATATAAAAAGAATTATCCAAGCATATCTCTAGAACTGGTCTTAGACCAAACCTAACATATTCCTATAGTTGATCTGAGGCCTAAGTGGAGAATGGCAGAACACTATGAACGACTATTTTAACACAATTAAAATCCGACATTGACAGTAAAAAGGTGCATGAATATTTCAACGCCCCCTAAGGCAAGAAATTGAAGTAGTGCAAAGATTGTAATAATAATAATAAAAAAAAGGTGTCAAAAAAAAGATCGTTTTTGTATGACATATTTATTCCAGCTCAACCATGTCTTCAACGAAGCGAATATTAGATAGAGCAGAAGTTGTTATTAATAATTGAGATTCTGTTTACACGGAAACTTTTGATTTAACAAGTTATTGTTTAGCTTCTCGTCAAGAGAGGGCGATTTTTAAATATGACCTATTAATTTCGAAGCACCAGGAAAGCGAGTTATAACGTTCAATAATTCTAACCGAAAATTTGGGTTCAGAAACTAGTTTTTAAACAAACTGAATAAATAATTTAAATTAATTTTCGTTTGAACGTCATTTATCGAGAGAATGAAAAGTCAATATTTCTCAATTCTTATGTTTTATTGCTTCACATACAAAGATTTATATTGTTCAACTATCAATTAGAAAAAGAACTTTCACAAAGTGTTGTATATTATATCACACTGACAATACTAGTATTTATAACAACAATGTCCAAGAATACCACCAAATATCACCATGTTGAAAGTCGTACGTTAAAGGCACTTTTTATGAAGATATAAAATGTGTCCTATCTATTTACATTGTTCATAACGTTTAAAGAAGAGTTTCAAAGTTTACACAAGGCAAATACACGAGATATCCATTTTTATAACTCCAATGTGTGAACAGGATTGTTTGTTAAGGATGTTCGCGCAAAGCTAAACAAGGGCTATACGTGCTAATTTTGAGCTGATAGACTAGAGGGAAAGCAGTCGGTCAACAGCACCCACCGCCAACTCTTGGGCTACTCTAATGGAATAGTGGGATTTAGCCGTCACTATGTTATGACGCACCCACGGCCCTAAATTTTGGAACGCGATTCTACAACGGTGGGTCGCGGACCATAAATCCTTGGATTCACAGTCCGGCACGCCGACTACTACGCCACGCCCGGTCCACTGAAAAAGGATGCGCTAGATTTCGATATCAAGGGAAGTGAATATGTTCGTGAATTGAGTCCTAATAGTTAGGCACAACTTTATCAAATTATTTAAAAAACATCAAATATTAGCCTTGACTGTAACATTTCATCATTAATTTCTGTTACTGTAAAAATATTTCTTGTTACACAAATGAAAAATGAATTAAAACTCTTTGCTTTCTCAAAAAACAAAATTTGTCAAAGTAAATTAAGTATGAAATTTTAAGGCTTAGTTCAGAATAGTCCTTTTATAACTCATTTGATTTTCGTATGGAATAATACAAGAAAGAATGTTTTCAAGGCTTAGCTCCCGTATTGTACCTTTAAACATTAACACAGAGTCTACTGGATATATTCTGATTAGTAATAACGGTGACATTATCAAAAATAGGAAAATTATTTAGACGAAGTTTAACAAATATTTAGATTAAAGTTACAATTGTTCTCACCCTAGTGGATGATCCAGAGAAAAAGCTTCTTTTCGAGTATTCAGTAATTTGAAATATTTCACGTCACATACAAAAAAGATGCTTTAACGGTGACGTGGATATATTAATAATAATTTTGTGTTAAAGGTCGTAAACGTAATTTGAAATGTCTTCAAGTGTAACGTCTTTAATCTAAGTATTGCTAAATGCACGTGTTTTTTATAAAAAATAATGTTAATCTTTTTTACGAATTAAAAACAGCGTATTCAATAATTATTAAGCCTAAATCATAGTTTGCAAAGAATAAAGAAATATTTTTTTTTTTGCACTCGATAGATAATTTAAATGTTTCAACACCAGGATCGCTGTTCATATATAAAATAAGATGATGTGACATCTCTCAAGTTGAAGATTATTGTTTAGAATTGTGTTTGTAAAAACAAACATTTGCTATTTCTCTTAGTTTCTTACACGTTTTTATCTAAACTTTAATGTTTTCAACAGAAACGTATATCACACACATTCACTCAGCTGTAACAGAGGTATCAGTAATACAGTAATGTAATATAAAGATGCTCTATATCAATTAGTGAGACAAATCTAATTATCAGGAGCATTTAGAAGAAGAAAAATATATATATATATATATAAAAATTAATAAAACTGTAAAATAAACAAACCATTCACAAGTGTAGTGTCTCATATGCTCGATAAAAATATATATACAAACAATCCAAATAGTAAACAAAAAAGTATCAATTCAAATGCAGTAAAACTCTCGAAAGGCTGGTTAAAACAGTTTTAAAAACCATGGCACGTCAAGTAATGGACAGTTAATTTCAAAAAAGCAAGATTTAACTAACGATTGTACAATCACAGGTCGCAGGTCAACTGACCAGATACAACCCACAAAAGAATAAGTATAATGAATAACATTAAATGTATTTTTAAAATGGCACATCGCTTTCACGGCACTGTTGTGTGCGATATCTTGCAGTCTATAAAGATGGCACGTTTTACACAAAGTAATCTCTCCAAACTTATATAATAATAACTGCATGTCATTAATAAATTTTCTCCGTTTTAAGGGTTAAAAAAATAGAAATTGTTCCATCAAAATATCTTGGAGTTGCTACTTCAAGGCAACTGTGAATTCATAAAAAAATATATCGACCTTGTCCTTAAATTTCATGATCGCTGGTGATTGGTTATCATTTCGTGACGTCTTTCAAATTTTCAATTAAAGACACCTTGCCTGGTTTTATTATAACGTGCGATTATTCCACGGAACCGATGAGACATCATTTGGTTTTCGGTAGGTGTCGCTTCATGTGCAGGGCAAGGTGATCAGATCTGGCGAAGGAACGCTCACACACTTTACACTTAAAAGGCTTAGCTCCGGTGTGTTTACGATAGTGTCGTGTGAGTTCGTCAGAACGAGCAAAACGCCACTGACACTCGGGCCAGTGACATCTGTATGGCTTTTCTCCTGAAACAAAATAAATCAGTTCCTAAATTTACAAATATAGCAAACCGAATGCTAATAAAAAGGCCTAAAGCTCGTAATAATAATAATATAAAAAAGACTAATTTACAGTGTTATGAAATTAGCACGCCAGGTTTTTAATTAGCTGCAAATATCTACGTTTTTACCAACAAAAGATGCAGCTGCTTTAAAAATGAGAAAAATAAAATTTCTGGATGTCAACTTAAATAATAAAAGAAAATCAAAAATACGTTTAACTATCTTTATATCAGTTCATAAATTGTAAAATCCCTGACATCACATATGACCTTCGGAGTATGTTTTCTGATTTTGCACTGACCCCATTCTTACTTAATACAACACCCTGTTCAGCACCGTGCTTTTGACCCATGTCCTGTCAGGTATTGGCTCTCTGTCGTTAATCAATTGCCTTAACACTCAAATTGTCTTTAGTCTAGCTTAACGTGCCAAAAGCACGGTCGTTAGCCGTCGAACCGAAGAGCCAGACCCCTCTTATAAGTTTATAACCCTATCACATAATATCTTTCTTACTACCAAACGTTTTTTGGTTTCTTTCATCAAGTCATTTACCGAAGGTTTGACTCTTTGACAAGAAGACATAAAAGACATTCTTGGTGATCGGTAAATCTTGTTTGTGAGCCCAGACAAAGAGGAAATGTCACCCCTCGGGAGGGGGGGGGGGAGGGTCAACGTATGGTTCCGTGTCTGCAAAGATTGACTGTTTCAGGAATCATGGCTATTTTGTTTACAGTTGGGGGGACGGTTTTTCTTGAAAGACGGAGTTTCTAAACGTGGTTCAATTGTCCTGACTTAGAAGAAACGTGATGTATAACAAGTGAACAAAATGGAGTCATAAAACAACACCCAATAGGATTTTACAACGAGGACCTTTAAGATAAGAAACACCAGAAACTAGAATCATTTTAGTTGGGTCCTCGTATCTCTAGACGACAAATTCACAATCTTATTAAGTGTTTCTATTTTTTAAAATTCATCAAAACATGATAAGTTAAAACTGGTTTGCTGACCAGAGTGACGTAGATTTTTCTTTGCTGTGAAACACACACATATTGAGACAACACCTGGTTGTTGCTTTATTCTTTCCTTAAGTTATTTACCATTTTACAGTGTTTTCCTTGTTACTGAACGTTTGTCCAATTTCACGACCGATACAGTAAGAACATTCTTCTACAGGAAAGAACATGGTTTATTCCTCAGGGTCTTTTTTTTTCCTTATTACTGAACGTTTCTTCAAAGTTACGAGAGAAAAAAAAATATATACATCCTACACGGTTTGGTCACTATTTTACTTTAAAGATGTATAATAAGCTATATATACATCTCAACCTTATGTTCATCATCTAAGTTACAGTCTCTATATTCCGTTATTATAAACAATGACTCATCACTAACTTATAGTACAACGTTATGTTCATCAGCTTAGTTACAGTCTCTATATTCCGTTATTATGTACAATGATTCTTCACTAACTTATAGTACAACGTTATGTACATCAGCTTAGTTACAGTCTCTATATTCCGTTATTATGTACAATGATTCTTCACTAACTTATAGTACAACGTTATGTACATCAACTTAGTTACAGTCTCTATACTCCGTTATTATGAACAATGACTCATCACTAACTTATAGTACAACGTTATGTTCATTAACTAAGTTACAGTCTCTATATTCCGTTATTATGAAGAATGATTCTTCACTAAGTTATAGTACAACGTTATGTTCATCAACTAAGTTAGTCTCTATATTCCGTTATTATGAACAATGATTCTTCACTAAGTTATAGTACAACGTTATGTTCATCAACTAAGTTACACTCTCTATATTCCGTTATTATGAACAATGATTCTTCACTAAGTTATAGTACCTGATGAACATAACGTTTTGTTCATAATAACGGAATATAGAGACTGTAACTAGTGACTCATCACTAACTTATAGTACAACGTTATGTTCATCAACTTAGTTATAGTTGTGTAAAAATGTTCAACTTAGTAACTGACCAATACAATATATAACAGACCATCGGTCCTTCTCCAACAAGGTCAGTTTTGCAGCCAACAAAATGTTGTATATCCGATCTGACCGTTCACTGTAAGCCCTGGCCTTATCTAGCTCGTGCGTGAACTGCAATAAACGTGACCCACATTGCCAGTATACTGACACGTTAGACCTCAACTTTGCAAACTACAAGAGCTGCATTTGCAAACAAGATATATGTCAGGCGCCAGAGGTGACATATATACATATTTTGGATTAGAACAAACACTAAAGAAGGGACCAATTGACTTGGACAATCTCACCCATAAAAGTCAGTTTCTGTCACGTCACGCTTGATTTCTTGAAATAGGAGGAGTCATAAAAGCCTAAATGCATTTATCTCGATAGAATATTTCGATTACTGTCTGCCGAATACGATTTTAGTGACGGGGTGCAAGGAGGCCGTGAAACCTTATAAGTGTGGTGAGTGTTGATATAATAAGCCTAAAGTAGTGTGGGATCACCTAGCCTAGAGCAAAGTGCGTATAATTTATCATGAAAATAAAAATATCGATTCAATTTTAAATTTAAATTGTTTCTGAATTAAGCCATTTACTGTTATATCACCAACATTATCACCAACAAAGCTCTAATGCACATTACTGTTATAACTGCCGTCGTATGCTCTAATGCACATTACTGTTATAACTGCCGTCGTATGCTCTAATGCACATTACTGTTATAACTGCCGTCGTATGCTCTAATGCACATTACTGTTATAACTACCGTCGTATGCTCTAATGCACATTACTGTTATAACTGCCGTTGTATGCTCTAATGCACATTACTGTTATAACTACCGTCGTATGCTCTAATGCACATTACTGTTATAACTGCCGTTGTATGCTCTAATGCACATTACTGTTATAACTGCCGTTGTATGCTCTAATGCACATTACTGTTA